ACAGTCTTCAATTATTCATCAGTTTTATTCACATCGTTTTAAAGATGTTTTCTTTTTTTTCACATCTCCGCGACCGTTCAGTTCGTTTTATCAATCTCATCCTTAAATAATAACTTTATTCCTTGAATGTTTGGTTCTATCCCATCGTAATGCGTATCTGCTGACCCGTCGTCCAGTCCCGTTCGGTTATCCTAATTTCTGTCATCGGACTCAAGTCCATATTCAGTAACACCCACCACATCGTGCATATCGCATTTCGCAAGCATCGTTATGGGCACGTCAAATTCGTTGTTGATGTCGTTCGTTGTTCGTATTTTGGAATATTTTGATGATCGTTTGTCAGCTTTGATTCGTTGTTTTCAGTCGGTCATCTTCACATGGCTGTTATTCGTTGATGAGTTTGTGATAGTAATTGATGGGACATCGACTGTGAAAGCTGTTTTGGAAGGATGTTTCTATGAAGTTTTTGAATATCACTGTCATGATTGACCTTTATAGATATGATATATTGAAGCTAGATTGCATGGTTATTCTTATCATCTGTTACGTTTCTATCATTTCTTCAAGCGCGCTTTCCAATTTTCTCATCATTATTATTATTATTNAGTGATCATGGTATTGACCTGCGATTTTGTATGGTTTGATGTGAAAGAGTTGAGTTATCTGAAAAGAGTTGAGTGACGAATGACAGGACGGGACTTGGTTTCGTGGAACTTTTCTTGTTTTGATAATAGTTTCGGGCATAAGCGGTGGTAGAGTCACTGAAGGCTGATCGTGATTTGGTGATTTGAAGGAAAACAAAAATTTGCTCATAATCATTTGTCTGACCAATGAATTAGTGGAAGCTCGAAAGTCTTGAATTTAATCAAATTGAATGGAGACGACTTCTGTTTTGAAATATTTTCGTTGAAATTGTTAAAAATGTTTCGTTGGCGATTGTTGTGGTCGTCGTTGTTATTGTTATGAAATGATATAGTAATGTGCGATGATTATACGTAAAGCAGCAGTAGCAGCAGCAGCAGCCATTCATACCATTTGATCTTCTTTCCGGTGTGCTTTGAGTTCGTTGGATTATTCGTTAGACGGCTGATAATCCGAAATTTGTTTGTGTTTTTGTGTTATGATAAGATTTGATTTGATAATTGATATTGATTATTGTTATTATTGTTGTTGGAGTGGTTTTTACGGTTCGATTGCATTCATTTCAATGATAATAATGATAGTCGATCGCATTTGATTATTGTGTCACTAGCATTCATTGCGTCATCGTGAAGTACACTGGCAACACACTACATCATTTTCTGATATTTCTTCTTGACTTGCATCTTTAAGTTATTTTGCATTCATTCACAGTTCGAGTTTAGTTAAATTCTGTTTAATTTGATTCATTCACCCAATTCATTCGTGATCATCTAATGCTTTTCAGTTGTTTCATTGATATTTTATCATGAGCGTTTTATTTTCTTGCTATTATTGTTATTATTATTATTTGATCTGAATTTTTGGTTTGTTTTTTTTTTGATTGAATTCAACTGTTTGGAAATTGTTCACGATTGCTTTATGTTTGAATGAAATGAACAAATAACATTCATCATTATTTGATATCATATAAAATTATTGTAACATCACGAATGAATTCATTCATCTGTTGTTTAGTTCAGTAAAGAAAAAGGAAGAAAGCGATTTTCGCCGAAGTCATTTCACGATTCATATTCCTTGTTTTTTTTCATTATAATTTTGCAAAATGATTATGTTTCTTTTATGTTTAAGAGTTGCAAATGCAAATGTGATAGGTTAACCAGAGAGTCTTTATGAGGAATAGATGTATTACCGAGCACTATTGCTAGCATTTTCTAATCGTTATTATTCTTATTATCACTTATCTCTATCGTATTAATCCAGGTGATTGTGGTGTGTGAATAGTATACATACGGTGAGCTAGCTATGCAATATATGTGATGATAGTCGAATGCTTATTATCATTAAACTGCGGCATGCATTCCAAAACGCGTGCCTTTACGAGTCTTAAGTCTCTCGTCATTTCACAACAAAACACATTTTTTGACGGGTTTTCAGCCGCTTTTTTTCGTGTATCGTCGTGTTCTTGAATTTTATTCGTTCCACACAAATTTGTTTAGTTACTACTCGTTGTTTGTTCACTGGATCGTTTGTTGGTCCGTTTCCGTGTTGTAGTATGTCGTATGTTTGGCTGAGCTGTTCGATGAATTTTATTGATACGTGGTCACACCTCATCAACCGTCCAACTCTGTTGTAATTTGATAAGTTTTTCGATGACTCTCAAACGTTTCGTTGATCAATCGTTGGTCAGCTGATTGATCAGTTGATTTGATATGATACTCACTCATTCTTTACGATGATATTGTAAGTGGAGTTGATCGATGATTGTCATTTATTCGTATCAGCCATTTATGATTACCAATGATACTCTGCGGTAAACGTGTGCTTAGTTTTGTTCGTTGTTATCATTTTTGACGGCAACATAAGCCTAAGCGCACTTACAAATGGAACATTGAAGAGAATGCGCAACGTGTTGTTGCTGTCGTCGTTGTCGCGGATTTTTTAAAAATTTTATTCAATTGATCATTCATGGTGTTTGTTTGATCACTAATTTATTATTTCTGTATTCGTTTGTTTGTAAATAAGAAGAAGACGAAGAAGCAGCAGTAGTAGTAGTAGCAGCACAATTGAGAAGAAGAAGAAGA